TTGATAACGATGGCTTCCCACTTTTACTACACTTAGTAGACTCTGAGTTTCCATCCTGGCAGGAATATCTTCAATATATGGCGAGAAAGAACACATTTGGCGATCAATTAACATTGTTTGCAGCAGCAAATCTATACAACATCGATATCCAGATTGTATCTACACCCGGGGCTGGGGCACAACATGTATTCCATCCATCATCGAGCATCCCTCTTGCTACCGTTTATCTCGGCCATTTTGCCAAAAATCATGGGGAACATTATGTGAGTCCGATACAAGAGTTCAATAGCGATACTAGTACCTCGGATGACCATACCGCCCATGCTGATGTTGACGCAGGGGGCGTTAATGATGATGTTGGTAACTTTAACAATGATGTAAGTGATGTTAACAATAATACAGGTGATACTAACAATGACGCAGGTGACGTTCACAATGATGCAGGTGACTATCACGATGACGCAGGTGATGTTCACAATGACGCAGATGTCATTGACGATGACGTAGGTAACGTTGACGACAATACTAAGCCCTTCTTAAACAATGATCATGATGTACTTGAATTGATAATCAAAATTACTTTATCAACCTTTCCATTTATGAGAAGCAACTTAAAACTTGTCAACAGATTTTCCAAAGTGACCGTGGACAATGTTCCTTGCCCCAGAGTGTATATACCTGAGCTGCCCGAGAGGAACAAGCGGTTATCAGCATCCGCAAAATCATCATGTTAAAAGGGAAATGCAGCGGCGCTGTTGCAGAACTTCAAGAGGAATTTAAGTCTCCTAGATGGCACCAAGCTTGGATAAAACTAGTTCCGTTAGAGTATGGTTGGTTTACCATAGCTGGCATTTATTGGAAGAATAGGCTAGTATAGACTGGCCTTTAATTAATAAGCTCATATGTTTCTGTAGAAACATGTGTGTTTCTGGTTTTTGTTAATTGTAAAGACATCAACAAATAACCTAAAAAGGACAAGACTTATTAGCAAAAGAAGAAACTTAGTAGTCGTATTGTAACTTGTGTTGTTTAAGTTGAATTTCAAGTTCAAATTATCACACTGGATCAATGGATTTTTTTCACTTCCTCAGTTGAGGACATTGACCATTTGAATAGTGTTCATATTATTGCATTGACAATTATTCTTTCTTTTATGAATCACTCAGATTAATATTGTACTGATGGTTTTGTTGTTGGCACTTAATGAAATTGAAGCGAATTAAAATTTAATTTAGATATGCCTAATGACGCTATCAGTTGATAGCAGCACCTAATTTGTACAAAAGCTTTATAGTTAATTAATAAGTGCATTTAATGCATTAGATGATGCGTAAAATAACAAAACTAGAGCGGTTTTGACTGATGACGACATCCACTTTGAATGGCAGGTACCTTTCATGTTTGTGCCTAAGTCTGAACCCTTATTACATTTGTGACCAAACCTTATTACACTTGTGACTTTATTACATTTGTCACCAAACCTTATTACACTTGTGACTTTATCACATTTGTGCCTTCTACAACACTCTTCCGCCATTTGTACGGCAGCTACCTCAATTACATTAGCGTGGTATTTTCAAAGTGAGTTAAATCAGCATTTTTGTGCAGCGAGTTATACGATTATGATTGCCACGAAACTTGCAGATACAAAACGTGATAGCTTTGAGGCTTATTTCATAAAGTAAGGAGGAATATTCCGATCGGATTTCAAAATTATAGGTTACTTTTGTAAAAAAAGGTTTTGAAATACTGATAATATCTTGAACGCTTTTACTCTCAAAACAAAAATAATTAAATGAGATTTCCTTCCAGCAAAGTCACACATTTTATAGGTGCTAAACATTAAATATAAAATATTTTCTACTAAAGTTCTTGACTTAAAATGAAACAGGCAACGTGCAAATAACTGGGCTCAGGCCACCGTAACTTAACGTTTCTCTCGAAATTTCATTGGTCAATTAACTTTCTAAACTTGTTTAGCACTGCCAGCCCTCTTCAGTCTTGGCGAATGTATTGGAGCAGGAGCTTTTGGTCAGGTACAGTTATATTTTTCTGTTATCCTTAAATTAAACTAAAATTTGCGAATAGGAACGCCCATAGAATCATGAAACTTGAAATATCACGTTACCCTTTACTCATTAGTATTAAGAACCCAGGATGAATGAATGACAGAAGTAAAACAAGGCGGAACTACTCCAAGGTTTCTTACCCAAAGTACAACTGAATCTATTAATTTCCCCACGCATTCGGCTGAATTTTCAAACCAAACTTTATTTTCCAAACGAGTAAAAGAGGCGTCAGCGTGCTCTGTTCTCTGACAAAGAGAACGCTACTGTTGTTAACAATGGTCTCCGTGCAGTCATATTTACTGCAGACAAATAGGACTTTTCCATTGCGTTTGTCTGAGTCACAGGGCATGTTTAATTTGGGTCAAATTTGTCAAAATTCCGAAGCAAAAATTTGAAAGCCAGCTTACTGTCACCAACCCGTGCTTTGCTCTCGATAAAGCATGCTGTTTCAGTCAATCAGAAACTTTATCATAAAGAATTTATTTAGGTGATCTACGTTTTGCAGTGTCAAATTTCCGCAATGAGCTTGTGGCCTACACTTTCCTTCACCAATATTCATGCCATTCAGCGCAAAGGACGTGAATGAAATTTCTGCAATGCTTAAAAAGTGGGCACTGAAAATGAAAAAAATATGGACGAAGACAAGTTTTGACAATTTTTTAGGTTATTCGGAAATGTGGACCCAGTAAGTTATCTATTTACTTTAGAAACAATGCTAGTTATGAAATTCAGACTCCTTCTCTGAGTGTGCATACACGTGCACTGTAAGCAATTTAACACAGACAAAAGTGAAGTTACTACATGGCTCAGCATGGAACACTATTGACAATTATTTGGTTCTTCTTTCAGGAAGTAAAAGCTCTACAAAACGAAGTTAGTATTTTACAGAAAGATAAACATGAGAGAATCGTCTCATACTATGAAAGTGAGCAGCATGGCCCTTATCTTGATTTGCTTATGGAGTTCATGACTGGGGTAAGAGCTTAGATGCGACGTGTCCCTAGTTCCTCTGTCGACGTGTTATGGTTATTCCACATAGGCTTGCCGTACATGTACTAACACTAACTAGCTTATTGTTTATCTTTGCTTGTAATCTGAAACGTAGTTCACTACGCATTTAAGATTCAGATTTTCAATGGAACAGTTGTTGCCATTTATAATAAGAATACTAAAAAATTCCAGATTAAAATCTAAGTAATGTTTTGGTGTTTTTCTCCAGGGATCATTGTCTGATCTCATAAAAAAGAGCGGATATCTTAGGGAAAAGGAATCAAGTTGGTACACAAAGCAAATGTTAGAAGGAGTGACCTTTTTGCATTTCCGGAATATAATACACGGATACATAAAGGGTATGTTTGCAGTATTCATGCTATTTTGCGGATACCGATGTGAAACACTTGGGTAGAAGATTCGAAAAGACACTGAACCAATAATTTCAACATAAAGCTAGGTTCATGACAGGGGGTTTACTGTGATAAAAGTAGAATTACTTTCTTTCTCCCTTCATAGCTCTGAGACTTACCACAGTTTTGATGGAGTATAAGCGCCCAACTTTTAACTCTTTTGAAAGATGTTCCAAGAAGTTTCTAGTTCTTCTTCCTCTAATTACTGTTTGCTTAAACATTTTACCATATATGATATCTGACAATTAAAACCTTAATAAATAGCCAAAATGAACGACCGAGTGCTTAAGAATAGACTGGGAACCAGTGGGTGCACGTATCCCTCAAAATCTATTTTAAAGACCTTATCTCAAAATTTAAAGAATTAGAATTTGGCTGTGATTCAACGTTCATGCAAGTAAACGTTAAGTAAAATAAAAATCTGTGAGACAATTTTTTCGTAAGCTAAGAAAATGTAAATTTTGCCTATTTCAAAAATAACTCAAAATTTGTCTTACAGATTTTTTTTAACAGTTTTGGCTCTGAAAGTAGACGTAGAAGTAGAAGTAGTTCTTAGTTTCCTTTGTTAATTACAAGTAAAGAACTAAATGCATTAAGCAGCACTGAAGTTTCTTAAAACATGTAGTAACCCGTGGCAATTCAGTTCCTTTTCCTATCTGTGTTAGCTTGGTAGCTGCTTATGTGCTTTAATATTGCTGTAACCTAAGTGAAGGCTATTTTTGCTATGGACTCCAGAACTTCTGCATGTGTTATTTCTAGGATCAAATGTTCTTTTAGACGGCAACGGGAATGTGAAATTAGCTGACTTTGGGTTATCAAAAATAATTCAGGTAAATATAGTGAATTGTATGCAGTAATTAGACCCCTGTACTGTATTAGCCTTCGTCGGTCCAAACTTTACAATGGGTAATGTATATGGAGCCTGAAGTTTTTTGTTCTGTTTTTCTGCTTGCTGTTTTCGTTTTGACCGCGCACAAAAACACAATAGAAGTGTACTTCCGTCTGAGCAGCTGGCCTTTCAGTTTCGCAATTCAGGAATATTTACGTAGAGTGTATGAGCGCAAAACAAAACATTGCGCACGGGCGGGAACCTCTCAACATATTAACTGGTGGCACTTTTGTTAGCTCCTTTGAAGTTTGCCCGGCTTCATAACAATTTGGAGTCTCCCCTCATTAACTATGGTCAGTGTTGACAAGTCCTACCAAGAGCCGAATAGCTACCTTCTGCTGATAGGCCATGCCGGCGGAGTTGTTGCTGCTGCCAGCTGGAGTCATCAGTTGATAGGCGTAAAACGTCTGAGCGCAAAGACGCA